AGTTTAGTTTAAAAAAAAAAAAAAAAAAAAAAAAATTTTTAGGAATGGTAAGTAATGTTATTATGAGAATCAAATGAGTTAACATATTAAATTTAAGTCCCTGGATATCACTTTAATACAGACACTCCATTATCTTTCAAGTTCACTTTTCCACAAACTTTTTGAAGCACCCTCAAAAGCATCTTTAAAATATACAGCTAAAAACGTAAATGCATTTATAAACATATATTTCTATTTTTCCAAATAGACAGTGTATTTAATAATCTCTGGGACTAATGGATTTTGCTGGTTGTTTATTATACATAAGTGTGTACCATTGACAGGAAATTACTGTAAATGAATTTGGCGCCTCTAAAAGCCAGTTCAGCAGCCCTGGAATCTGAAATCCTTATTTATCCCTCTAACAAGAATAGCACAGACGGCAGCAGTTGCTTTTTCCCAATACTGTCTCCCAGGATCCTAACCTAGCTCTGACCTCGTAGGAGGCAGGAGTGTGGCTTTGGGCACTAGAACACTTAGGCTGAGCTTCACAGTACTTGCTGAAACACTTCCTACAGGTCAGACTACCCAGTAAGCAAGGTAAGCATAGGCTTACTTACTAATCACTTTTTTCATCACATCAAAGAATCTCCTTCTAGGTATAGCTGGCATCTGTCTCTCTCCAATGCCGCAGCACCTTCTTATAGAATCAAAATCTCTTTTAAATTTATAATGTTGACAGAGATGGTATACCCAGTAAGCAATGCAAGCATGTGCTTACTTGTGCTTACTTAGTCATATGCAGAAAACAGTTTCACATGGTTTTCCTCAGACCAAAGTGGGTTTGTGATAAATTGGAAAAGTCCCTGACCTTACAGATTAGTAAACACAAGTAAGCCTGTGCTTACCTTGCTTATTGGGTACCTGCCCCTGCTCACCCATCAGGGGATGGAAGTGGTAGGGCCCACCCAAGTCCCAAACTGGATACTAGTGACTACTACACCTGGATACTACATAGACATATGTTTAACTGAGCTACCTAGAGAAGACAGATTATGATCAGTCCCATAAAAAACTACCCAGTCATAACTCACTCCTTTAAACTGTAAACAGTAGTCTATCTTCGTCTCTTGCTCTGATACACTGGAAGGCATCTCTTGGCCTTTCAAATCCCAAGGCGAATGGATTCTAAATATTGCAGTATCCAACCCCTCCTTCCTCAGGCTTTCCACAAAGGAGGCACGCTGGCTCTTCCCACCCAAGGAGACCAAAGGCGGGCACTCTGGCAGATACACCAGCAGGGAAGATGGTCACTATGTACGGTCATATTTTTTCAGCATCTGATTAGATCCCATTCTTCTGCGAGAACTTCTGAAACATGCAGCTACCTGCTGGAGAGCTTGGGTAGTGTTTAATGACAGGAAGTTTAAAGTAGGCACCCTTAAGATGTGCATCCAAACCATAAAAGGAATTTATGTAAAAGTAAACCCCCCCCACCCCAAGTTTCTATTTCAATCCCTTTCAACACAAGATTAGAGAAAAGAACCTCATTTTCCTCTCACCTTTATTTACTTCATCTTTTAGCCTTTTTGCTAAACTAAATTTACTTCTGAAACACTCAAAATACTCTATCTTCTATGCATGCTGGAGTCTTTGCGCCCCTCTCTAGGATCTAAGATTGCTAATTCCCATTTCCTTTTGTTTCAGTAGGACATGTAGGCACAAAGGCAGTTGCTCCTTGTGGACAGTATACCTTTCAAAACTGCTGTGATGTCCAGCAAACAGAACAGCATTTGGTCTATTTTGGAAAGCAAGAAAGGGAAATTAACAACTTCAAGAGAGGTCTATTCTGAGCCCCATGAGACACACAGCCACCTTTTTAAAAAGAGCTCACTTCAAAGTCCATCAATTAGCAAGGCAGGAGAGTCAGGAGTCTCTCAGATTCCAGATATTTATTCTCCTTTGGTTGGTTCACGGCCTTTTCACGGTGATTCACTCTGGAGAATGAGCACACCCACACATGGTTCATTATTTTTGGGAAGTACTTAAGCAGTCTTGGTGTAATATGGGAAAGAACAAAAGTGGTGAAATCTAAGCTAGACTGGACAGAAGAACAGAACTGGGAGTTGGGCCTTGTGGGTTTGTGATAAGGAACTGACCTATCTGGGGCTCCACTACCAAAAATACCCAGAGTCCTCCATATCAGCAAGATCCAAATCTACAGATTCAACCAACAGCTGACAGAAAATACGGAAGGGAGTGGGGGTGGGGACATAAGTGGTCTAGGCAATCCCACAAAGGAATGTAAAGTGCTATTTACCTCACATTTACATTGTGTTGGTGGTGGGGTTTCCAAGGAGCAGCTGGTATGTTTGAATTGCCGCCTTAATGGTCTGCATTCCAGTGCTGATCCTATAGCACCACACAATCTAGCATGTGTACAAGGGGGCTTACGAAAAACAGTTTATGGAAAAACAAAATGAAAAGACAATGGAATGTGTCCATAAACTTTTTGAAGTCCTGTCATACATAAGAAGCTGTGCATAGGTAAAAAGTAAATACTGTTGTTGTTAGGGCCATCTAGTCGGTTCTGATCCATTGCAAACCTGTACAGGTTTCCAAAGAGCAACTAGTGACCTTGAACCACCGACCTTGTGATTCAAAGCGACTTTGCAGTCTAGCACATTAACCCACAGTGCTATACCAGGCAAATACTAAGCCATTTTATACAAGGGACTTTCAGATCCACGGATTCTGGTATACACAGGAGTGCTGAAGCTGTTGTCACATCTCTACCCCGCTCCCCATACCAAATTGCAAGCTTTACCTTACAGAAATGGTGTGAAGATCAGCTGCACAGACTGAAAAGGACTCTCCCTCCACATACCTGTGCACAGCTACATAGTTCACAGAGTAAGTGAGAAGGCTGAAAACCATTTTTTTCTGTACAGATTTTTTGCTTTATAGCCTTCTGCATCACTCAAGTTAACACATGTCTATCCTCTAGTGGTTGAATTACTCTCCTCCTTTCCCTCCCACCCCTGGTAACCATCAGAGAATGTTTCTAAAAGCATGAAAACCTTTTCTGGAGTTTTCACAATAGTGGTTTCATATAATATTTGTCCATTTGTGATTGACTAATTTCACTCAGCATAATGTCCTCCAGGTTCATCCATGTTGTGAGGTGTTGCACAGATTTCATATTCTTTACCGTTACCTAGTATTCCATGGTGTGTATGTACCAAAGTTTGTTTATCCATTCCTCTGCTGATGGGTATTTAGACTGTTGGGTTGTTTTTTCTTTGCTACTGTGAATAGTACCATGATGAACATTGGTGTGCATATATCTACTTGTGCCATGCTCATATTTTGTGTGGATCTATACCAAGTAGAAGCACCACACCATTTTTCACAGTGTTGGCACCATTTTAGTCCCACCAACAATGCAGGAGGGTCCCAGTCTCTCCACACCCTAGCCAGCTTTTGTTGTTTTCGGTTTTTTGAACTTTACTATTAATGCTGGGGGTAAGATGATATCTCATTTTTTTATTTGCATCTCTCTAATGGCTAACTCTTATCAATGGAGAAAAGACTGAAGTTGCCAAGGACTTCATTCTTCCTGGATCAACCATCAACACTCATGGAAGCAGCAGTCAAGAAAGCAAACGATGTGTTGCATTAGGCAAATCTACTGCACAAGACCTTTTTTAAAGTGTTGAAGAGCAAAGATGTCAGCTTGAGGACTAAGGTGCGCCTGACCCAAGTCATGGTATTTTCAATAACCTCCTATGCATGTGAAAGCTGGACAGTGAATAAGGAAGACCATAGAAGAA